TCTTTGGTGGTACAGTCAAACTATACCCAGGTATGAGTTACTTAGCTAGTCCCATCATACTTCCTGGTTTATTAGTTTAATATGGTGAGCACAAGGGTGGAGGGGGTAGGTGGCAGTACCAGCAGCAATAACAGCAGCAGTAGCATCCCCAGAAGTAGCTGTAATAGCTGTAGTCACCAGCTTAACCAGATGAGCTGGCATGGGTGCTTCTCTGATCTCCTCATAAATGATGATCTCCAACTCTTGTATCCCCCAAAGCCTTCCCAGAAACCCAGCTGAGCATCAGTCAATCTCAGTGAGCAAAGGGGAAAACAAAATCATTCAAGTAGAAAGTCAGACTAAAAGATTATTAAATTTCTACTCTCTCAAAGGAGTCTTTCCAGGTTTGCTGTCATACTCTTTCTTCTGAGCTGATGTCTCCTACTTGTGATGGTGGGACAAACATCTTATCTTTCAGGGACTCAGTAGCCTTTTTATCCTAAGCTAACTTTCTCCCCCAAGTGCCCCGTGGAAGAATAAGAAGGACTGCTTAAGCCCTTGCTGTCTCAGCTTATTTCTTCCACATGCCCTTGGGTGAAGAGTTGGGTGCTTTGACCCTTTCAGTTCTAGTTAGCAAAGCTTGTTGTTTCCTCCCTGAGTCATCTTCCCCTTTGAGTACAGGTGAGATGGGCAATGAGGATGAACAAGTATTTCTTTTTTAATGTATTTTTAAACTTATATTTTATTGTTTATGCTACTATAGTTGTTCCAGTTTTTCCCTCTTTGTCCCCCTCCATACACCCCCCACTCCTTCAGGCAATCCCCACACTATTGTAGATGTCTATGGGCCATACATACATGTTCTTTGGCTACTCTCTTCTCTATACTGCACTTTACATCCACATGGCTATTCTATAACTACCAATTTGTACTTCTTAATCCCTTCACCTTTTTTGACCATCCCCCTGACTCCCTCCCATCTGGCAACTGTAAAAACATTCTCCGTATCTATGATTTTGCTTCTGTTCTACTTGTTTGTTTATTTTGTTTTTTAGAATAAACTATTGATAGATATGTATTTATTGCCATTTTATTGTTCATATTTTTTATCTTAAAGAAGACCCTTTAACATTTCATGTGATACTGGTTTGGTAGTGATGAATTCCTTTAGCTTTTTCTTGTTTGGGAAGATCTTTACCTGTACTTTTATTCTAAATGATATCTTTGTTGAGTAGAGTAATCTATGTTGTAGGTCCCTGCTTTTCATCATGTTGAATATTTCTTGCCAATCTCTTCTAGCCTGCAAAGTTGTTTTTGAGAAATCAGCAGATAGCCTTATGGGTGCTCCCTTGTAAGTAACTAACTACTTTTCTCTTGTTGCTTTGAAGATTCTCTCTTTGTCTTTAGCTTTTGACATTTTAACTATGATATGTCTTGGTGTGGTCATCTTCACATCCATCTTGTTTGGGATTCTCTGTGCTTCCTGGACTTGTGTGTCTATTTCCTTAACCAAATTAAGGAACTTTTCTTTCATTATTTTTTCAGATAGGTTTCCAATGTCTTAGTACCTCTTCTCCTTCCAGCACCCCCATGACACTAATGTTGGACCTCTTGAAGTTGTTCCAGAGGCCCCTTTCACTATCCTCATGTTTCTGGATTCTTTATTCTTCTTGCTGTTCTGATTGGTTGGTTTTTATTTTCTTGTATTCCAAATTGCTAATTTGACTCTTTGCTTCATCCACTCTGTTGCTCATTCCCTATAAATTGTTTTTTATTTCAATTAGTGTATCCTTTGTTTCTGACTGGATTTTTAAAAAAAGATTTTATTTTTTATTTATTTTTAGAGAGGGAGGGGAGGGAGGGAGAGAGAGAGAGAGAGAGAGAGAGAGAGAGAGAGAGAGAGACATCAATGTGCAGTTGCTGGGGGTCATGGCCTGCAACCCAGGCATGTACCCTGACTGGGAATCGATGAATTTTTTTTTTATGCTGTTGAGGTCCTCACTAAGTTCCTTGAGCATCCTTATAACCATTGTTTTGAGCCCTGCATCTGATAGATTGCTTATCTCTATTTTGTTTAGTTCTTTTTCTGGAGTTCTGTTATTTCATTTGGGCCATGTTTCCTGTCTCCTCATTTTCCTATCTCCTCCTGTCTGCCTCCCTACATTCCTTTCTATCTATTATGCAGAGTTGCTACATCTCCTAAGCTTGGTTGAGTGGCCTAATGTAGTAGGTGTCCTGTATAGACTAGTGGCAGAGCCTCCCCTATTACCCAAACTGAATACTCAAGGTGCACACGCTGTGTGGGCTGTGTGTACCATTTTTATTGTAGTTGAGCCTTAATTGCTGTTGGCATGCCCAAGGTCCGCCACTGACTGTGTTCTGACCTGGGTCACACAACATAAGCTACAAAGTGATCTTTAGGTTGCTGCTACTTGTGCTGGACTTGGAGGTACCCAGATGAGTCCAAGCTGTGAACCAAGGCCAGCTGCTGCTTAGTGCTGGGCCTGGGGCAACTTAGCAAGATATAAAGGGCACACTGAAGCTAGATGCTGCTTGTTTGAGAGATGCTGCTTGTTTATTTTATATATTTTACAACTTCCCTTATACTTACTAGTAAATTTTTAAAAAACTATTCAAATAAACTCTCTGGATCTCTGGACTGTGTTTGTCAAAGTATGGTCTGAGAACCTCTCAGCATCAGAATCACCTGAAGTGGGTGTTGAAAAAGTACATTTAAGGACATATCAAGACCTGTCAAATAAGACTGTCAGGGGAGGGGCCTTGCTATAGGCTTCACAGGCTCTCTGAATGAGTCTTCTGGGGACTAGCATTGCAAACCACTGTCTTGTCCTCTGGCATGAAGAGAAAGTGTCCCATTTCCAAACAGAAGCACAGAAAATTCCCAAATAATCCCATTAGTTGCCTTAAAACAGAAACCATCAATGTCTGGATTTCCCCTGGGAAGTGGGGCTCTTTTGAAGGCCCTACCTGTTCTTCCCTCAGCTATATGGGTTTGGAGAAACCTAGAAAAGTTACCATAAGAGCCAACCACAAGATTTTATGAGGTATCAGAGAAAAGCAAACTTAACCCCTTCCTGGTAGGTTTTTGAAAGAAAATTGAGGGAAGGAAATGGGATTCCTTTCTCTACTTTCCCTTCCCCACCTCTCCTGCAAACTATTCCTCCTTCCTTGTATGCTGAGTGCCAACATACCCTCTTTCTACCCAACATCAGATGTTTTCATTCCTTTTCCTGTGTGTTAGAGGGAGGTTAGCACAGACAGCTTCTGGTTAACAGCTAGAGTTAAATGAGCTCCTTTTACCTCAACATCTGTAAGATGTGCCAGGCCTAGTGTCTACTAACATAGAATCTTTCTGGGGAAAGAATTAGGGTTATGCCAGAAGAAGGGATCCTCAGCACTGGTTGATAGGGTTGCTCGACACTCCTTTGTTGTTAGTTGGGGTAAGGTGGCTCTTTGAAAAAAATAAAACACATTTTAGTATTTTCATCAAGCATTTTTTGGAAAGAACCATCACCCTGGGGAAAAACTCACACTGAAACTGTCTGGGGGGTTTGACATTGGAATACTGGGGAGCTGGGTTCTATGTGAGCCATTAAGCCAAAGGCTCAAAAAGCAGGTGGTCCTTGGAACATCTCCACGAGGAGAAGTATAGCTCTCCAGGAACTGCAGGAACACCCTGAAGCGTGAAAACTTTTCAGAATAGTAAAACAAGACATAATACTCTGTACACTGAATATTAAACTCATATTTCCACAAGGCAACATAAACTAATATATAGTATTGAGAAAGGGGGTTAGATAAATTAACGGATGACACTTGCAGAAAGAAATTAGGACAGGTTTGGGGCCACTCCTAATTTTGTCTGGTTGACTCCACAAAAAATAACTGTACCATTCCTCTCCTTTTTCCTAGAATCCAAAACAGAGTGTTGGGCTGGCTGTATCATCAGTCTGATATCATTAGCACTGTGTTAAGTTCCCAGGCATTGGATTCATAGGCTATAAAAGAACCATATTTGGAACCAAGATAGTAGCAAAGGTTATCACTGGATTAACATACAATGGTGATAAGGAAATGTGAAGGAATGTGAAAGCTGCCAATACCAAAGGGGTCCCTGGTTCTGCATAGAACTAGTTTGGAAAGAAGTAGTGAGTAGACACAATGGAAACTCTGTCCGCCTGCTAAACTATATCATATGCCCTGGTGTCCAAGAGAGAGATGGCTTATCACCTAGCCTTCAAAGGGGCTTATCCTAACACAAATATTTGGAGATTCTTAGGAATGAGAGGTTCTCTAGGGTGTCTTTTTGAGGTGTGAAAAGTGCTATTTTAGGAATCCCTGAGGAGACTGTTTTGAACCCCCTACAGAGGAACCCAACTAGGAACCCAACCATAATGAGGACAAGGTGACATTCTCCATCCCTACACCATTGGGTGTGGGAGCACTCAGTTCCTTAGGGTTCTCCTATCAGCCTAATATACATGAACAGTAATATAAGTAGAAGCAGTGTGCTGTCTATGTAAACTCAGTTTACAGACAAAACCTTTTCCAACCTGATTTTCTTCCCTCTACCAAGCCCTCCTATGGAGAAATCCCAGAACCCTGGTGGCTTTTGAGACACAGATGGTTCTTCTTGCCCCAATCAGCCTCTCCTGCTAATAAAACCAGGCTACAGGACAAGAGAACATGCAAACCTTCTGACCTTGTAGACTCTATTAAATGGTTGGACTCCTATCCTGAGTCCCTGAGTGCTTCCTAAGCAGGGGAGCCACCTGAATTTCTTGTTTCATGTTTTTCACCTGCCAGGGAACAAGCAGAAAGTGTGCACCTTGACACCAATGAGCCTACTGACATGAAGTGTCAAATTGTTGTAGCAAAAAGGGACAATGGCTCATGAGGGATTTCTGCTTTAGGAATTGTTCAGCCAGAGGAATGTCCAATTTTGGAGACCAGTGATAGCATATGGAGTTGACATGTTTCTTTTCTTCCACTTTCTCCAGAGCTCCTTTGAGCCTTCATCTGGACCCATTCGCTCTCAGTCCTTGACCACGTTTGCTGTGCCCACCTCTCCCAGCAGCACCCAGCTGCCCATTGGTTTCAGCACCCCAGCCACTACCCAGGCCTGTTTGGATTCTTCAGCTTCTGAACACAAGATGGCTTTAAACCCCCAAAAACAAAAGAAGAAGAACCCTGAAGCGACTGTAAGTTCTTCAAGAGACCGGGGAATAAACTCATTTATAATAAGAGATGAGTTCCAACCTTTGCAAACTGCACCTAGGAAAGTGGTATAGTTTGGAGGACCCTAAGTAGGGATGGGAACGTCCAGAGCACTGTGCCAGGCTTGAAACCCCCAGAAAGATGAGCAAACATGTATGTAGTTATTGGGATGTCCTATACATGGGGAACTTACATAAAATGAACTGAAGAAAGTAGAAATAACCTAAATTTCCAGGAACTGTTTATTGTCTTAATATCAGGGAATTCACTCAACCCTCTTTGTTGAGGAAATTTAACCATAGCCCAAATCAATATTCTTTTAATTACTAATCAGGTAGGACCCATATGTTACAAATTGCAGCACTGTTCCACTCATTTGGGAAAACTCCAAGCATTCAAAACTCAGCTATTAACACCTCCAAAGATCTCTCAGTGTCACTCTGACATCACAGATTCCCATCACGTGACTTTCTAGAGGCAGAGCTATGCTTAGCAAGCCAATTCTGTTAAAAACATGGCTACAGATCAGACTTGGAGATCTGACAGCAAAGAGAAGTGATAGTTGGTTGCAGAGACAGGCCATTTAGTATAGGGATCAAGAACTTTGCCCACCTTTGCAAGTCCCTCAAAGCTACACTGTATCATAGTCCACTGTAATAGGTCATACTCATTATTTGCCCGAATCACCAAGCAAACTTAAACAAACTATGTTCCCTGATCTGTTTAGAAAGGTAAGGAAGTAATGCCTTTGGAAATGATTTTTACTAAAAGCTAAGAATTAAAATATGTTGATATTTATAAGGATGTGTCACTTAGCTGGAAGATTGATTCACTTTGGTCAAACACCTAATTTCTCAGTGACTATGAGCTATAAGGAAAGGGCTGTAAATCAGAGCTGATAGAGAGTAAATGATTTCATGGTTACAGTATTTTACAGGAAAGGAAATTAAAGCACAAGTAGCTGGCCAAGGTCAAACACTCTGGTTGTAGAGCAAGGGCCAGAATCCATTCTTCTGACTTACAGCCCAATACTCTTTCACCCTGCCATGTTGCTCCTTGCTTATAAATCTCAATTTAGCTTTAGGAAAAGACAAACAAATACAAGTTGAAAAAACAATAGGCCGGGCTGTAGGTCCAGGGGGCCCTCTGGTGGCCGTGAGAGAATTTCCTTGGTTCTGTATCAAGCAGAGGGTGATCAATTACTATACACTAAACACTACATATGCATTATCACCTGGACATTTCACCACAACCTGGGAGAAGGGGAATATTGGCTAAGAGAAGCTTAGTGTGACCCTTTTGAGTTCCTTCTGCATAGCCTAATTGAGAAAAGGCACTCTATAAGAAGGCTGGGACCTAGGGAACTTTTTTCTTGTGACTCTACCTGACATTCAAATGAGTATAAAGGGGTCCAGGATCATATATGACACAGAAGCTGCTCTCAGTTGCTCCCTGCTGTAGAATTTCTTAGGTCTTCAAGTCCCACAGGAGGTTTTCCGTTATCCCAAATTTATAGATGTGGATACGGCTATAGAGAATAATCTGCCCAGGGACTAAACAAATAATCTACAGAGAGTAAACGATGGAGCAGAGATTTGAACCCAGGTCTACCTGACCTCATTTACCCAGAAGTAATTGGGTAGTCTGTTTGCAGTGGCACATCAAATAGGAAGATAAAGAGTTGTATGTTTGCCTTTAAATGCAAGTCATAAAGGCTTACATTAAGCAAATTCTGGACACTATTCAACATGCTGCTACTCTGACATTTCTAAAGTTGCACTGTAATTATCTGAAAGCCTTGTTTATTCTAAACCAGTTTCAACCCCTTCAGTATAAAGACTGAACCCTTCATCTTTTCCTCTCTTCCTTCCCAACAAAACCACGACCCCCTTTCTTCTTTTAAGCTGGAAAGACATAATTCATGTTCTCACTAAATCCCCCCCCCCAAAAAAAAGCCAAGCAAGATTTGAATTTGGCTCCCAGGTCTGATGAAGCAAATTTTGTAATTCTAATGTTGCCAAGAATATGATTGTTGTCAGGCCCAATACCCCATTTTCAGATTTATTGCCCTTTTGTGTGTTTCAGTGTTTTAGAGAGTTCCCTTAAGCATATCACTCAGAAATTAGAAACTTCAAATTAGGTGAAACACTTCCAATAGGTAAAATGATCACCAGGTGATGGATACCATTGGAGATAATTTTCATTGTAAATGGTATTGTGCTTCCAGTGGAACCTTTTGGATATCACGGATGTTTTTCCTGATTTTTTTTCCTTTGGCAACCATGAAGGTGTGGGTGACTACTATATTCTGATTCAAGTTCTTTCTTTTTCCTCTTTTAGGTGAAGCCAAAGCAGGAGGAGCTGAGCTTTCCACTGGTTTCTGAAGAGAAGACTAAAACCAAACCAAAAGCAACTTATGAAAAGAAACCCAAAAAAGACAGTGCAGGTTGGCACATCTTCATCCTCACCCAGAAGCATGTATTACAAGATTAATTGCACGGTGCTATGTAACGGGAGCTATATAGTGATAATTGCCCAGGCCTGCTGTCCTCGGTCCTCAGAGGGCTTTCAATTTAAGATACATACTAATATGATCCCGGTTTCTCCATCTAAACTGCCTAACTAATACCATTGCCACTTGTGTGGGATTTAGATAAAGGGTCATAACTGAATCCTTATTTTGTTTAAATGAATTTCTAACCAGAGGTGTTTTGTGTTTGTTTATAAGTTTCTTTAATCCTAAGTCTAATATGCATGCTGAGTTCCTTAGTGAGCCCAGATACCTGAGGGAAGCCCATGATTTCTACTTTGGCATTTCCCCTCAGCAACAGAACCAGATGATAATAACAGAATTAGCCCAAAAGTAGTTTTTAAAAGTTGTTTTTCTCTTCTCGTAGAGAGAAAAGGTCATACATTAATCTCATATCCATGGGCAGAGAGGGCTGGGGCAGCTGCAGACAAATGTACTTGGCAGCCAACACCCATCAAATCCCCAATAGTAGTGAAAATCTCTTTGAGTGTGTATGTAGATATTGGCTCCAGCTGATGGAAACCTGATTTCAAGCAATACTTGCTTGATAAAATAAAATTCCAGTTCCACAAATTAAGGCAAACAATTATTTCATATCTTTTCCACAAAGAATTTCACATGTGTATTCAAAGACAGGGTATTCCTAAACAAAATTTCCCATGAAAACTAACAAAACTGTTCTGTAACAGAGAGGGAGAGAGAGGAAGAGAGTGAAAAAGAGATAAGTAATCCCTTAATTCCTTTTACTTTCTTTTTATCTTTTCTCATATTTATTTTAACAGTTGTCCCTGTTATGCAGAGGATAGAACTGATTCATTGTCTGTGGGGGCAGATACTGACTGGTTTTCATATAATGGGAATGGTTTGAGTGCATCCAGCTATGCTCAGTGTTGCATGTTGGATATGATGCCACTAGGTGCAGTGAATGATGAGGGAGGGAAGGCAGCGGGAGCACTCCCACCTGGGCATCAAGCTGAGTTCCTTGGTAAAAATATAAAGAGAAAAGGAACAATCTAGTTAATTGTTGCCTTGTGCTTAACCTAAAGCTTATGGAGCAATGCAATTAAGGCTTTCCAAGAGTTTATTTGCATGTATATTACATCAGCTTATTTTCATACAGAAGAGTAGAAATCAGAAGAAAAGGGACCATAATTTTACCCCCCCAGATAATTCCTGTTGATACCTTTCCACAAAAGTAAGCCAATACCTACACATGATGTGAAAATTAAATAGAATTAAGTAGAAAATGTAAATACTAATTAGAAAGTAAAATTTCCCCTTGCCCTGCCCCACTGAGTTTCCTGAAAGATAATCATTGCTGCAAGTACAAAAAATTGTCTTTTGATGTGTCTCACCCTAATGGTGCACCAGGATATTGATATAATGGTAATAAGTCAACCTTGGAATCAATTTATAAAACTCAGATTTCACTTTGATTTTAAAATTTTCAACTGCAGAAGGCTAATAGTGACCAAGTTGCTCTCTGTCTTCTGAATAACTACTTCTTCATACTAGGGAATACAATAGCAAATGGTTACTCATTAGGCCAAGGCAAATTGTTCTTATTTTAAGAAGTCAAAAGCACACATATTTTTCCTTTCCTTATTTCTGTTTGGTACAGGTCCTTTGGCTCAGGAACAGAGCAACAACACTGAGATTTCTAAGACAACCGATCAGGCTACAAAGACAGATGCTACTGGGAGTCAGGGCTACTCAGCATATGGAAAACAAAGTGGAAAAAAAGGATCAAGTGCTTCAGAAAAGATTGAGAGTAGGCCCAGAGGAAGGAGCTCTAAAAAATCTAGTCGAAAGCTTGACTTAGGTAATAGAGCTGAGTCCCCATCTGCCTATAAGATTGCCAGGGATAGCCATTTCTGGCGGTTGCCCTTGGAGAAGCAAGTCGCAGAGCAGCCCATAGCTCTACAAGCAGAAGCCATTACTCCTCAGGAGTTGCTTTCAGATAAAAACTACATGGAACGGAGAAAGGCTGGTTTAGATTATGAAACCAGAAAAGCATCACTATCTCATCCTATACCTAAACACATGAACGCGTCCATGATTAGTGGTCCATCACAATACCATGAAGGTGGGGCTTCTGGAACCAAGTCAGAAGCCAGAGCTTCTCTTTTATCAGTGGTGGAAAGCCCCTCTACAGCCCAAGAAGATGTCATGTTCTCAGTGGCAGGGGAAGCTCAGGTGTGTATGGGTCCTTCTCATATCAGATCAGAAGAGGAAGATGCTTCTAGCTTTGATTCACAAAGTGTCAAATTAAAAATGGAGTCAGCTCAAAATATCTCAAATATCTGCAAAAAGAAGCCTCCTGGAAATGTCCTCCAGGCCTTTCCAGCAAGCATTTTGGGTATGGCAAGTGATTTGCCAGAGAGAAGCATTTCTGTAGAGAGGCTGCCTCCCAGAAGCCTCTCCCGGTCTTTGGGGAAGCCAGAAGCTAAAGAAGTCTCAGATGCAGATAATACTTCAGAGATGGAAAGTGGTTCTGAGCAGCCACTGGCTCCTGGATACTTTTTGCAGTCCTCGGGGGACCCCGAAGATGATGAAGAAGGCTTCGCAGAATCAAGCAGTTTTATCGGGAAATTGAGCAGTTCTCATGAGCAGCTGGCTCCCAGTCGTGAATCCTGGGCTTTGGGGGAGCCTGAAGACAAAGTGTCCACAGAATCAAATAGGTATTTTGAAAAATACAGTACTGCTAAGGATTGGAGCAGCTCTGAGGAAGATCTGCCTCCCAGACACCCTTCCCGGCCCTTGGGGAAACCAAAAGCTGAAGAAGTCTCCTCAGATGCAGACAGTACTTCAGAGATGGAAAGGGGTTTTGAGCAGCAGCTGACTCCTGGATACTTTTTGCACTCCTCAGAGGAACCCAAAGATGAAAAACGCTTTTCAGATTCAGAGAGTGCTTCAGAGAAGGGCAGTGCTTCTAAACAGCAGCTGGCTCCCAGTTACGTTTTCCAGTCCCTGGGGGAGCCTGAAGATGATGAAGAAGGCTTCACAGAATCAAGCAGTTTTGTTGGGAAATTGAGCAGTTCTCATGAGCAGCTGGCTCCCAGTTTTGTGTCCCAAGCTCTGGGGGAGCCTAAAGATGAAGTATCCACAGAATCAAATAGTTATCTTGAAAAATACAGTACTGCTAAGGATTGGAGCAGCTCTGAGGAAGATCTGCCTCCAAGACACCCTTCTCTGGCCCCGGGGAAGCCCAAAGACCAAAAGGAAGTGTTCTCAGTTTCAAAGAACACAGCTGAGGAGTGGGGTGTTTCTGTGGAGCAGGTTCCTCCCAGACGCCTTCCTCAGCCTTTTGTGAGGCCATTTGTTCAGCAACAACTCTCCACAGGTTCAGTGAATACTTCTTCAGAATGGGTGCCAATGCCTTCCAGGCACATTTACCAGCCTTGGCTGAAGCCTAAACCCAAGCAACAAGCCTCTTCCAGTCCAGAGAGTGCTGCTCTTGAGTGGGCCATTGCTATGGAGCCACTGCCTCCCAGAGTGTCTTCAAGGCGCCAGTTGAGGCGTAAAGTTGAGCAACCAGTCTCCTCAGGTCCAGAAATTGCTACCATTGAAGGGATCATTTCTATGGACACACCACCTCCAGGAACTCATTCTCAGCCCCTGGTAAAACCAATATCTGAGCAAGAAATCTCTGCAGGTCCAGAAAGCACGGTTGTTGAGGGGAGAATTTCTATGGAGCCTCTGCCTCCTAAATTGCTTGCCCACCCTGTGATGAACCCAAAGGTTGAAGAAAATGTGTTCTTAGGTTCAGAGGGTGCTGAGAAGGTCGTTTCAGTGGAGCCATCATTCTCGGAATATTGTCCCGAATGCTTGACAAATCCTGAAGCCCAGCATATCGTCTCAGAGAACACTGCTGGTAATGAAGGCATGTTTGTAGAGCTACTGCCTCCAAAGTGTCCTTGCCAGCCTTTGGTGAAGCTTAACGTACAGCCAGAGAATACTACTTGTGACTCAGGGAGTGCTTCCAAAGAATGGAGCAGTCCTATGGAGGTGATGCCTTCGAGACACTCCTTCTACCCCTACGTGAACACCAGCTTTGAACAACCCTCTGCAAGTCCAAAGAGCACTGCTGTGGAGTGGGGCATCCCTATGGAGCCGCTGCTTCCCAGAATGCCTTCTCAGCCCCTGATGAGACCAATTGCCCAGCAAAAAGTCTTCGAACATTCATTGAGTGCTCCTGCACAATGGAGTGGTCTTGTGGAGCCAATACGTCCCACATATACTTCCCAGCCCGGGGAGAGCCCTAAATTTGAGCAACAAGCTTATACAGGTCCAGAGAGCACTGTGGTTGAGAGCAGCACTTTGATGGAGCCTCTACAGCCCAGATTGCCTTCTGAGGCTCTGAGAAAACCAATCTCTACAGGTCCAGAGAGTGTTGCCAATGAGAGGGACACTTCTACAGAGCTGCCACCTCCCAGACATTGGTCCATTGTTAGACATAAAGTTCAGAAAATGTCACCAAGGTTTGAGAAAGCTGCTGTTGAGAGAGTCATTTCTGGGAGAGCACAGCCTCCCAAATATCCCATCCACTTCTTAAACTTTAAAGCTCAGAAAGTATCCTCAGATCTACAGAACACTGCTGTTGAAGGAGGTATGTCTAAGAAATCACTGCTTACCAGATGTCCTTCCCAGTCGTTTGTGAAGTACATGGCACAGCATATCTTTTCAGAGAGCCCTGATAAGGAACAGCAGGTTTATGTGGATCCTCTGGCTTCAAATCAACCTTCCAAATCTTTGCTGGGGCCTAAAGTTGAGCATCAAGTTTTGTCAGGTTGGGAGAGTGCTGATATTGAGGGAGGCATTTCTTCGAAGCTGCTGCCTACGAAAGGCCCTCTACAGTCCTTGGAGAGGCCTGAAAACCTGCAAGAAGTTTTCTCATATTCAGAGAGTGCTCCTGTGAAGTGGAGCTGTCCTCAAGAGCAGTGGCCTCCAAGATACCTTTCCCAGACATATGAAAAGTTTGAGCACAAGCAAGAAGTTTCCTCAGTTTCTCAGAGCTCTCTTGAAGAATGGAGGTCTTCTGAAGAGCAGCAGCCTTCAAGAGTCACTTTCCAAGCTGAGGGTGGGGCTGAATTCCAGCCACAGATTTTGTCAACAGGCTCAGTGAGTGTGCCTATAGAGTGTAGCAGTGCTGGGCATCACCTGCCTCCCAGACAACCTTTTCAGGCTTTTGCAGGTCCTGAATATGAGCAACAAGTTTATTCAAGTTCCATGAGTGCTGCTGCTAAGGCAACCATTTTTGAGAGCGATTCTAGCACCTGTTCCCTACCAAAAGGTCCAGATTCTCCAAACGAAACTATAAAACACAGCCATGGCTCTGAAGATCTCATTAAGAACATCCCAACTTCTGCTACCAAGCCTGTGAAGTCCACTGTCACTCCCGCCTGGCCAACATCCATTTCTAGGGATAGTTATCCTAAGGAGGAAGTTCTTGAGAGTAGTGATCAAAATGATGGCTGTTCAAGTTTATCCACCAGTGAGGCTGATGTTAAAAACCTTTTTGGAGTCCGGCTGAGGAGGATCCCTTCCTCACAGAAGTATAAGAGTAAGGAACAGGAGCATTTTACCAAGCTTTCTTCACCCTCCTTGGGCCCGATGTCAACTTCTGTAGGTGGAGAACCACAAATCAGAAGTGCTTCCAAGGGACTCCTCCACACTGAAGAGAACCTCACCGCAATATCTGACTTTGCAGAGAAGAAAGAGAGCAAGCCCAAATCTGATAGCATGCCCAAGAAGCAACCTGCTTACAAGATCCCAGGTAAGATTGTCTTTAGGTACCAAATGGAGGGAAGAACTGGAAATCAAAGTCTTTAATATGAAGAAGTGTGTTCTAGCCTTGTCTGCTGAGTTGTTCCTTTGATAGGGCTGGATTGTTGATCTAGGGGCAAGACAGTGGCCCATTCTATCTATATTAATGGATTTTCTAATGGACACATGACCATTTTCCCATTCTCTCCCCCACCATACACCTTACATTTAGATGGAATTATATGCTTTTCTCAAAACACTTTTACATGTATCATTATGCTTCCCCTAACATCATGTAGATTTTTAAAGCCAGCTCACTAGTAGAGCACTATGTGCAGATTCTCAGCTTGAAATCTTCACTTTCTTTGTTCTTCCATAGCTTCTTCACTCACCTCAAATGTTTAAGAATCCAGAGCTAGGTGACCCTTTGAACACTAATCTCTCCCAAACTCTTTGCACCTTCACACTCACTATCATAGTCTTGTATATGCTTATAACCACACCCATATATCCACACATTTGCATGAGGAACTATGAAATTTCAAATACTATAAGTATTTCCTGGGAGTTAGGAGAATGACATCAATAACTTAAGCCTCTGGCCTCCTAGAAATTTTTCCAGCTTACCTAACAACCATCGTCCTATCATAATTTGGAAATAGGAAAAGGGACAGACAAGTGAGGGAGGGGGACCAGTAACATGACAAACAGGACAAAAAGTATGCAAACTTTTAAATATAGCTTATCTACCCAAGGAACTCCTGCCTTGCCAGGTTGTAGGGAGGGCACAAAAGAATGGGACCCTTCTCTATATGATATCTATTTATTTTTATTTGACAATTCATAAGGATCCCATTGGATCATTATTGTGGGTAGGCCCCAGCCAGGCTCAAGACTCTGCCTGCCTTGCTCCAGTTCTAACTCCTTGAATTCCTTTCTCAGGAAAGGCTGATCGACAATCAGATTATGCCACCTCAGAGCCAGCGTGGATAACCTTGGCAAAACAGAAGCAGAGGAAGTTCCAGACTGAGATTACTATGGAAGAGCTTAAAGCCAGTACTGGAGCTGGACCAGAGGCTGAGACTAAGGTGGCTAGTTATGAGGTAGGACCTGGGGTAGCCCACAAAATGCTCCAAAAAGTTGCTGGAGGCAATTGATTAAGCTTGCATTGGGAACTTTGCCAGACATGTAGCTCCCCACTTCTTTAACTGCATTAATCAAGGCAGGGGGACTCTTCAGGGGAAGACTTGCTTTGTACTCAAACAAGTGTGCCCCACTTTGTGTTCTTAAAGGGTGTGTGAAAGTAATGACTATGAGAAGATTCTATAAGTCAAATTCTGTCCTAAATATTCTAGAGCAGGATTCCATGAAATTGGTTGAGAAATAAGGAGTAAGTCATAAAAAACTCTTAAAGGTAACCACTGGGGTGAGCAACTATCTTTACTATATTTATGCTTATAAGTGTATATATATATAAACCCTTAACTTAGACCAGTTGTGGAGAAGTTAATTTGAAAAGCTTAAGCTGTACAACTTTGAAAAGACCTGTAGTTACAGTGTTTTCTAATGCAGAGTACAAGTCAGGTGTCAACATATTTTGCTAAGTAGAAATCTTATGAAACTCCAATTAATTGATAAGATTTCTTTGTAACTACCATATTCTTTTAGCTTGCTGTTAAGCGCTAGGTGAAAGGTTGTTCTCAACTTAAATAATTCTCATGTTAACCTGTTTATTCTATTTGTATGATTAGACAACCTTTTCTTCCAGATCTGAGAAGTGATAAACTTGAACCAGCTTAGGTTTTGTGAACCTAAATTCTGAACCAAGGTTTTCTCAATGCCATTTATTTCCTTTTCTCTCTATCTCTTTCCTTTTGATTAATGTTGAATCCATAATACCTATGACAGGGTTTATACCTTGTGACTTTCTGAGTAAGTAATTTGCTGATTTCATGTTAGGACTTACAAGCTTCCTGTTTTCATTGTTGAATTAAAGGGAGCTGGCTGTGTTCCTCAAAACCAACCAAGAAAGATTTTCACTTCTGATGTCACTAGACAGGAGATTGAACAGATGGCACTACCTAAGTCTACCGATCCAGGTAAAAACGCATACCCCAATACCCACCCCAAATAGCTCTGGCAGAATGCTGTGAGACTTTTGTAATTTCAAGCTCAGGCAAAATGTATTCCCCTGACTCCAAATCAGCTTCATGATTGTCTCACGGCTCTTCCATTAGATACAGATATTAGCTTGTTTTAGGAAAATCCAATCATCACGACTACTACAAATCTAGTGTGTAACTTTCAGATGAGCTTCCAGTCTTTTACCCCATTGAGATAGGTACAATTGTGTAGGTACAAAATTGTGATCATTTAGTAAAATGTTCCTGAGGCTAGTATTCAAGGGGAAAGAACCAAGCTACTTTCCAGTTCATAGTGAAGCAGTGTTTTCTCGCCTTCCATATTCCCAATGAAACTGTTAAGAATAATCCACTGTAAAGACCCAATGGTATTGAATTGTTTTTAAAAGATTTTATTTATTTTTATTTAAAAATCTTTAGAATATATAATCTTTATTATATTTTTTCCATTACCATTTAGTCCCCTTATATCTTCCTCCCCCCAGCAACCACCACATTATTGTCCATGTCCGTGAGTCCTTCTTCCTTTTTGCTCACTCCCTCCACCCACTAACCTACCCTTCCAACTAGCTGTCATCTATTCTCCATCTATGAGTCTGTCTCCGTTTTGCTTATTAGTTCAGTTTGTTCATTAGATTCCACATATGAGTGAAATCATATGGTATTTGTCTTTCTCTGACTGTCTTATTTCACTTAGAATAATGTCCTCCAGGTCCAACCATACTATTTATTGCAAAGGGTAAAATTGTCCTCTTTTTTACGGTAGAATTCCATTGTGTAAATGTCTCAGTTGTTTTATTCACTCATCTATTGATGGACACTTGGGCTGATTCCATATCTTGGCAATTGTGAAAAATGCTGCGATGAACATAGGTGTGCTTATGTTCTTTCTAATTAGTGTTTCAGGTTTTGGGATTGCTGGGTTATTTATTTTTAGAGAGAGGGGAAAGGAGGGAGAAAGAGAGGGAGAGAAACATGATGTATGAGAGAAATGGCAATTGGTTGCCTCTCTCACACTCCCAGCTGGGGACCTGGCCTGCAACCCAGGCATGTGCCCTGACTGGGAATTGAACTGGCAACCTTTCTGTATGCATGCCAGGGCTCAATCCACTGAGCCACTCAGCCAGGGCTGAGTCGTTTTTTTAACTATTTAAAAGACTTGTTTCAGCCCCTCTGTATTCTGAGTCAGGGGTATAAGAGGTGGGGAAATGTTGAAAGCTGAAAAAAAATTATGCTGGGATAGAACAGAATGTGATTTCATCAATGGTTATATGCCAAAGGGATTTTTTTTTTCAGGAGGAGCAGGGGACAGGGAGGATAGATTTATAATGAATCATCTTTGCCCTTTCCCTTAGTCCCCCTAGTGAAGAAATTAGGCCGTGAAATAGCAGCATTTGACCTGCTCATAGCTATTGATAGTCTCATGGGCACTATACTCCTATCAAGTGGTTCTCGACTCACTGTGTATTAGAATCACCTGGTGAGCTTTCAAAAAATTACAGGTAGTCCTGGCTCCATTGCTAGATATTCTAATTCAGTTAGTTTAGGAAATGTCATGGGACTTGGTATTTTAAAAAAGAGCTCTAGATAATTCTAATGTGTAGTCAAGATTGAGAACCATTGGTTGAGTCTAAGATACTAAGTCAATCAACCATAACACAGGAGGAGGGAAGGAGTAGAATTGGAGAATAAGGAGGTAGTCTGCATGGTCAGAGTAGTTGGTACAGTATTATTTATCATAGGCTTTTACTGGATGGAGCTACTTTGTCAGCATTCATGTCATACAACATCATGGGTTACCAAAAACAAAAGTAATATTATCCTATTTTAAATTTAAAATACTGAACAGATACCATACAATATGATTTCTCTCTGGTCTCAATTCAAAAGTCTCAATCCAATACTAACCATGCAAAGATTGGCAGTTACAGCTGTAAGCATTTTCTCTCAGACCTTCTCTCTTGTCCAGGTCCCTGTGGCCATAGCCATATTGATTTTACCCCTTTGCCATACTACTCATGGCATTGCCCATGCACTGAATTTTAGGAACCAGAATAAACATGAAAGAAGGGAAACTTTAATTGCATACCATAAACATAGCTCAGTACCTTGGGGGCTTCTTTTTCCCCCCTCCTGGGGCTTCTTACTCTGTGTGTTATCTGCTGTGGTTCCTGCAGGATTTGAAAATCAGAAGATATTTCAAGTGCCTGCCATGAGAAAAGAAACCAGACATTCTTCAGCTCACCCAGCCATGTTCCAAGAGCCAGCTGAGCCAGTCTGGTTCTCCATGGCCAAGAAGAAAGCCAAAGCATGGAGCTATATAACAGAAATCATGCAGTAAATAGCTCCTGGGTGGAGCATCAGCATTTCAAATGATATTTGCTAAGAGCGGTACTAATGCCATGTACTGATTTATTTACTGTAACCATTTTAATAAGCAAAATGCCTTAAAATGGAAATTAAAGCTAATAGTTATGCAAATGAAACATGCCATGAATGCCTAATAATCAGTATAGTCATTGCCAGCATCTGAAAATGCAGCATATCCTCTATAAAAATTATGTAAAATGTTTGCAGTGCTGTAGAATTGGGAAATCTTTAACTTGGGGAAATGTGTTTTAGAAGGGCAAAAGCAAAAACATTTTGTTGGAGCCACTAAGAAAAGGGTCATTTCCCTTGATCAAATACATTAATTCTAGTGGAAATGTTCAGATGATTTTGCCCTAGGATTGGCTTTTAGGTTTATGAACCTAGTTAATGCTCCAGTGTTTTTGGTTGCTGCTCCAAACTTTGCAAAGGCCCCTAGAAGAGGTGGTAGAAGTGAACATTCTGGGTCTTCAAGAAAAAGTTTGCACAGTCAGTCCCGCAGTCAACTCAGTGCCCTTTGAAACACCTTCTTGAATACCTGGGAACCCCCCATGCCTGCAATTTATACAGAGCTCCCTCTTTACACATTTCCCATGTCAGTCTGTCATAGGTCTGGCAGCAGTGAGTGCTTTTCTAAGAGGCAGACTATTTCTTGGGGATTATTATGCTCCTTTGGATGGCTAGTTCATCAGTCTTTGACTGCTTGCCCCAACACCACTGTGACCCTATCCAGTTACTCAGAAGTGGTCTGGATATCATACATATCCTGTTTTATAAGCACTGAAGACACTGTTGAAATTCAAAATTCTATAAATGCCAAAAGCTGTACTTTCAGTCAAGAAGTCTTCCACGAAAGAAGTCTGGGGCCACTGGAGAGCTGCCTTACCCTGACTCCAGAGTTAGGGTAGAGACCTCTGTATAGCCCAGTTTTTTCTCCCTTTCCCTCAGAAAGCTGTTTCACAAGGTTTTAGCCCAAAGCAAAACTGCTATCGAACAATTCACTTTCTGGTAACTGGGAGCCTTAAGTGATTAAATCAGCCCCTCCCTGCCCTAATTCCTAAAGGCATACACCTAAAAAGTCATAAGATCAACAGTCCTCACCTCACCAGTGAACCACTCATCCCAAGTCTTCCCCTCTATTTCATCCCCCAAACAAACCAAACACTAGGGTAGAGTTACCTTTAGATTCCTGGACAGCACCTAGCTTATTTTCTTAGGAGACCCAGAAGTGTCTTCTCAGTATACCTTTCACTGTGTCTGCCTCTGCCACCTTGGGGCTACTTTGCTTAAACAAAACTGCAGGGATAGACATAACTGTGCCTTTAAGTTCTGAGTGGAGTGTTGCCTCATGCAAAAAAAAATCTGGAGGGACAGTGAGGTGCCAGAGCTAATTTAAACATTTGGCTTTGCTGATGGTATAGCATGACATTGTATAATCATATGCTGGATTTTGCATTTTGTCTGTAAAACATCTTTTGTTCCTGATACTGTACCTTTGATTTTTTGATGCTAGGTTTTTGTGATTGGATTTGATTTCCCTTATATTTCCATAGTGAATAGTTAAAGTAGAAATTAGTTATCCCCTACCTCCCTTCCCCCTTTTCCCTGGGTGGACCACTATTAGGTTATTCTCAATCTAAGAACTGTCCATTAACAATTTCTTTTCCACAGCTGATAACAAAACTATGTTTTTAAGTAGAGGTTAAGTTTTTTTAATGCCTAGAGACACATTTTAACATGTTTTTGACTTTTAGCATTCTTGATTTTAGCTATATGCAAAGCAAATAAACTCAATAAAGCCTGTTCTGTAGTCTGTCTGTTACATGGCGATAGAAATGAAGCAGAATTTTGACAGTTCGGATGGGAGAAGCAGAATGATCTCAAGAGGTGGTGTGTGACATAAACAAGTGTGCCTGATTGAGCTGATGGCCTCCAGTTGGATAATTATACAGGGAGAGTGGTATTAAAGAGGAGGTTCTCATCTGTGTAAACATGGGGAGCAAAGACACTGATAGGAGAATGCTGATGGGGGTGAGTAGGAGGGCACAAAATGGTGGTTGCTATACTCTAGTCTAGCCCAGGGACTGGGTCCAAGTTCTATAGTAATATGGGCTATTGAAATAAGCCATTATCAAAAGGAAAGGGCCCCTCTGTGTTCAGTTAAAGTGTAACATGGAGTGAGCAAGGGGAAGGTGTGATAGATCAGATATTTAACCTGACCCTCCTGTAGCATTTGTAAAATTTGTGGGGTTCAGAAAGAGTTCAATTTTATACACATAGCCATGTGTATAAAAATATTTGAAATGTTTTAATCAACTAATAAACCATTAAATAAGATGTTGTACCTCCTTCCATGATAGGCGTGCCTTCATAACTACCTCGAAGTCCAGGTTGGGATTTAGAATTCTCAGACTCCTGTAAGTCCTGCTCCAACAGTGAGGGAAGAGCTGCTCCCCTCTTTCCTCCCCCTGTCCTAGCTCCTAGACCAGGCCCTGTCCCATTCCATCCCTCAAGCCTGGGAGCACAGACCCCAGCCGTGTACTCTGCCCTCCCAAGACAGCCCCAATAGGAGCATGTGGGCCCTGGCAGCAGGCATGGGGACTGTTCAGGGGTGCCAGGGATCATGAGCTAGTAGGGACTCACCCTGTATTCTGTGGTCTGGGGTCCTTCTGGCCCTGTAGGGATGGGCATGGTTGGAAGAGAACAAAGTGGGACCTGTAAAGCATGGAGCTCAGTACACAGGTCCCTTTTGCCTGGGTCTAAAAGCAAAACTATGGTATCAACTTATACAATGCAAACACTGACAAATAAGAATCAATTTGAAGGTGCTCAAATCATACAACTTGAATGGCTCTTGCAGTTCAAATAATGGCAAAAAGAAGCCCTTTGCCTTCTGTCTCACCACGTGATTCTGGTCATAGGTAATACTATGTGAAGTACATTTTAAAACATCAACATTGCTGCCCAAAAAGGAGTGTGGGAGTGTTGAGTTTAGTTCACTTTAATAAACATTAAGTATCCACTAAGAAAAACTCATTGGGAAGGAAAGATTAATAAAAACCGTTTAAATTCCCAACCATTCAGACATTCACTCCAATGTTCAGGGTTGGTGTTAGGGTGGTGGGGGGAATATATATATACACACACATATATTTAGATGATTATATATTAAATATAGTTGGATTATTATAAATTAGATGATATATTATAGAGTATTATATATAATATACATAAGGATATGAGATGTGCTACCACAGAATACTGTATGAGAAGGCATCAATGCTATGAAGGAGGTATCTAGGAATCTGTAACTAAATGCAGAATGGAGGCTGTCTATCTGAAATCCCTTTCCCCTTCTGTGATCCTTCAATCAGGCCACCTCTGACTTTATCTTATTTTTCCTTGAGCAGATTTCGGAGATTAAGTTCATTCTCTCCCTTTCCTCTTTTTATTTTTCTAATTACTTATGGCATATTTCAGATCTACACAAAATTATAAAGAATACTACTATAAACATCAATTTACCTACCACCCAGCATAAGAAATGGAACATTATAAATATAGTTGCAGCCGGCAGTGGAGCCTTCCCCAATAAAATCCCCCTCCCTTTCTTTTCCCAAAAGGTAACCACCATCCTAAATGTGCTCATCTATCCAAGCATGCGTTTCTGTATGGTACCTTTGTATACACTTTTTGCACACATGACCTATTCTATTTGTATCCACAGTCAATATATATGGTGGTCATTTTGCATGTTTTCTAGGCTTCATATACATGCTACTGTTTTCATCCTTCTGGAACCAGCGTTTTCCCGTTATGCTTTTTTTTTTTTTTGCTTCCATCACCCATTCTTAGCCCCTGTACCTGTCAGCCCCTTTAAGTTCTAGTCTCCTCCCCAGTCCAGCCCTTGCCATCCTGTTTCATTTTCCTGCAACAGTCCCAAGCCAGTGAGTTAAGGCTGGTCCTACAGGTGAATCTGAGCTTCCTCTGTGGCTTTAAACTAGTGCTTCTCAAACCTGAGCTGCATCAGAAGCCCCTGGAGGGTTTGTTAAAACACGGGTTGCTGGGTCTACCCTCAGAGTTTCTGACTGAGGAGGCCTTGGGTGGAACCTAAGCATTCCTAGGTGGTGATGCTGATGACGCTGTTTTCAGGACCAAACTTTGAGAACCACTGCTTCAAATCAATGTCTGGGCCCAGGATCAGCAGCACCATCTGGCACCCAGGCAAGCTGGGCTATCTAAGAGGTTTCCTTCAAAATTGTGCTCTAGAGACCCTGTCTAGCAGACATATAATGCAAGTCACATGAGTTAAGTCTTAGGTTTTCTAGTATCTACATCAAAAAAGAAACACAAAATTAATTTTAATAGTATATTTTAACTCAACATACTATCATCTAAACAAGTAATCAGTATATAATTTATTAGTGAGACAAGTAATATTTTTGTAGTTATGGCACATCTCAAATCGGACTGTATTTCAACTGGCCAGTGACTAACAGTGGACAGAGCAGTTCTACAGGCTTGACATTTATTTCTTGCTTTAGAAAAACTGTTAAAGTTGACAAATTTTAATTTATTTTGCGCTGTCATAAAATAATTTAAAGCAGGCTTACAAAATGGTAGAAAGTGACACCTTTCAAAACAAAAGGGTAAGAGATTTGAGTCGGGATTATTTATATAAATAAAATCTGCTTGCATTTCATTTTATTAATGAAAACACTTATTTTTAACTAAAACAAATACTGTCAAATACATCTATAAAAATAAGTTAGATATCATTGGATAGCATCTTTTGGGTAATAAACTTTGGAATGTTATCAGTGCTTAATAAAATGCCCATGGGCTTCTTAAAATGAAAAACCTAAAAGTAGTAAACAACGGGGTCTTCCTTCTTTCTCCATCTTCTTTCTATTCTTCCAAACTGCAGAGTGAAATGAGAGAAAGTTAACAATTACACAGCATTAACCAGCTCCA